CAAGAATTCGCTGTATGATTTATTCGTGGGAGAGCCACGCTTCGGCATGAATGGGCCGGCTCGACCGGAGTGATACCACGGCCTCACAGAAAACCGACGTGAAGCAACGCTTGCGTTGTGTTTCGTCGTGTGAGTGAGGGTACCGGAGGCCCAACCTATTTCCTTTCCTCTACCCCTCAACCCTTCCCGCCCTATGATCATATTCGTCCCTCAAAGGCCGGCAGCGCGCTTGTAGCCCCTCTGGTGTTGCAGGTGTCCATGGGCGACGGTAATCACTTACCATCAGGTGATCCGTCTGCTCGTCTGCCCCCTATCACATTAAAAAAAATGAAATAAAACAGCGGAAAAAAAGCAGCCTTGCTGAGTTTGTTGCCTATTTCTCCCGACGTAGATTTACGAACCAATGGCGTAGTTTTTGACATTCACAAGTGCTTGTGACAGCCTAAACTGAATAAATGAGATTGAATTTGAATATATACTATGAATTTGATAGATACTATTTGACAACGACATCGCATACATATATTGCTCAGACTTCAAGATTAATAAGCTATAGCCGTCGTATGTTATGAGTATGAAAAGAAATTAATGAAAGTTTTGCTTGTCACAGTTGGCTGGGATGCCAGAAGTGCCTCTGCCGGTTCTCAAGTCTGCTTGGGGAGGTTTCTGCTTGGACAAGATGGAGTTGAAACAGATATTTTGTCTCTGCGAAGTGTATGCGAGGCGTGAGACAGTGCCGTTCCTGCACTTTATATCTGTAGCTGCAGGACTCTTAACTAAGGTAAAAGGATGAGGTTCATTAGGTCCCCTCCGGCCTTGAAAGTCACTTCAATTTCAGGTTGATCGCATCTATGAAATTTCTGTATTTAAATATTTCAGAACGTATATTTAAGTTTACATTAATATTTTTCATCCTGTTTTATTACTATGAGATGAAAAATCAAAATATTTAAAGAACGAGCATCTTTAAATATTTTGATTTTTCGTCTCATTCATCCATTTCTAATTCTAATTTTACTTAATATTTTTAAATGAGCACAAGGGCGTAACACTTTCCTATTTAAATCTATGATAAAACACACTGAGACACAAAACATACATAAAATACTAGTGTTGCGCCACAGTTGCGCGTTCATATAAAAAAAAATTGTTCAAAATTCAAAAATGGCAAAAATAGTAGATAATAGGTGCTTCCATTCTGAATCTTTTTGTCATTTAATTGAAATTAGGAGTTCTGACATTTCCTTAAAGTATGCTGCCACTTAGCTGAAAAGCTAAACATTCATCCTGCACGTTGCTAGGACTCAAGTACTGCCCTTAGCTATTAGGGGGCGTCCATAAATTACGTGAGATGTTTAAGGGGGGGAGGGGGTCGAGGCAAATCTCATCTAATCTTACGTTGGAGAGAGGGGGGGTCTCGGCAAATATCACGCAATTTTTATTCTGATTGAATAAAAAAAATATACTATTTTGGTCCATTTAATCCAGATTGTACATGCTTAAGATTTAATCTTAAGCGTAATCGTATACGATTAAGATCATTCACTAATTCGTTCAAAAGAAAATAATTTCATTCATACTTCGACGCTATACATCTACTGAATGTCAAACCACCATATTTGTAGGGTTCGAACGATACTTTCGATACCGAGTAGGTATCGATACTTTCAAAAGTGATACTCGATACTACAACAAGGCAAATACTCGCAAGTACTCATCAAATTGCATTTTGAAAAATCTCACGTGAGATTAGGGATGGGGGAGGGAGTTGAATAAAATCTCACGACATCTCACCAGGGGGGGAGGGAGGGACAGAAAATTTAAAAAACACCTCACGTAATTTATGGACGCCCCCTTATTTGTCAAAGCAAGGTTGTCGTAAATTTGATAATAAATGATGTAGGTTTCTGACATTTTATATATCTTCTAATAAGTCTATATGACATTTTGTAAATGATATAACTAGAATATAGGAAGAATGAATCCCTATAATATCATAAATAATATTGAATATTTTAAAATAACCTTAAAAGCAGTTTTCAATCCCATTATCTTTTTTTTTAACAAAAACAGTAAAACCTTTTCAAGGAGATCTTATGAGAAGATACAAAATAAAATGTTTCTACTTCAAACAGTGATTTACTTTCCAGAGTCTAACGCACACCATGATATTGTTATGTGAAGCACTCACCAAGGAGCCCGATGGTGGCTCCGCTGCTATTCCTGTGCAAGATTTTATTGTCATGTACAAGTTCTTGGCAAAAATCGACGCATCTAAGGACGTCAAGTATTTGGACGGGTATAGGGAAGGTATTAATGCCCTCTTGTAACTACGCTTACGTTCCCTTACAAATACAGAAACATACGCATCGAGAGTAATGACGTGCTCGCTTTTTAATCGCAGAAAAAAGATATAGAAGATGTTTGTATATAAAAGAGTATAGATTATAGCAAAACTTAATTTTTTATATAGTTTATTTGAAATGTATTAGCATTAAAATCCATCCAAAAATAAAACATATCTTAAGTCATCTTTGCGATTTTTTTCTATCGAGCCAATTATTAAAATTGATGTTTCAATTTTTTTTTGCAAAAAATTTTTTTTTTAATTTTTTTTTTTTTTCGAATTTTTTTTTTTTATTAATATTGGTTTTAAAGTGGGAATTTCGTAAAACCTCATTTAAAGCAACTTTCGCAATAGCTTGTCATATATGTTAAGTTATTGGTGCCGGCTGCATTCGCAGACGTTAACTTCAAACTATCAGTCCTGGGACCGCATGATGGGTCATAGCCCATTCTCTCTATTCGATTACATCCATAGGGAAGACCTGTGCCCCATAGGCTGATAAGGGTGAAGATGATTTTATCATTTATTAATATTTTAGTCTTAGAATGAATACTAAAAATGATTAATAATAATAATAATAAAATGATTTCCCACATTGTTGCACAGTATAATACAGAAATGGTAATGACATCATTAAAAACTATTATTGGTTTTTATTGATGTTTTTTAATTTCATTTTTAGGACATGCTCCTTCAGTCGAGTCTGTAACAGAAGAGGAATCTACTGCCACAAACGAGGAACTGTATGAGGTTGGTTTTAATGTTTATTAAGTAAATTATTTGTACCTTATAGTGTACTTTCTAAGACGGGCAAATTAATTGATATAGAGCCAAAGTATAATGTTAGCGTTAAAAGTAAGTGAGGCATAGAAAAAAAAATTTTTGATAAATAAAACGGATGTCAATTAAATTTTGTACATGTGAACAATTCAAAAGTTCAAGATAATATCAATATAACATGAAAAACGACTTCGGTTAAAGTTTAACTTTTTAAAGTCCTTTTTATTTAAAAGAACTTTATAATTTGTTACTTTTTGAGTTTTTATATGTTTCTATATATCTTATTAATATTACATTTTTTTGTTTAATAAATAATAACTAATGATTTATGCGTAACCACGTTTTCATTTATTATAATATTATTTTTAAATCCTTTTACAGTTTAATGATTTATATGAAACAAAACCGTGAGGAAAAACTGACCCCATAGCTTTCATACTGGTCCCAATTCGTGGACACTGTAAATTTATAAAAAGTTGGCATAGTTTTCGACTTTCGTACACAACAGCTTATTAATTCTTAATGAAGATGTTTTTCATTAATTTTTGGAAAAGGGTGGTTTATATGTTAAAAGATGGGAATAAAAAAGACAAATAAAATGTATTTTTTTTATCATTGCTAAAGATACGAATAAAATAAAAAAATGTGAGTTTTGAATGAAAATTACAAAAATAATTGCACAAACGACAGATGCCCTTATCGGCATTATAACCCGTAATAATACGAATGGGAAGAAAACTTTCTTTGACACATTTAATTAGCTGAATGCTTTTTCCATATTGGTCCAGTAGAAACTATGTCCAGGAAAACAGAAACAAGAAGCAAAACTAATATACGGTTAGCTTTGGCCTATAGACAAAACAACTTCCACATGTAACTACGACCAAGTATCCCTAATTATAGGTGAATCCATTAAAACTTAAGGCTTTGTCGCTTCCTTTGCGTCACCTTGTTGAAATAGTGAGGCAAAGTATTAAAAACTTAGTCGATATTGATTGTGCTAATGATGGGACTCTATTTATGATTAGATATAATCGATAGATTTACAATTGAATACAAATTTATTGCTGCTGAAAAAAATCATCAATACCAAATTATATCAATACCAACTTCAGTAATTCATAAGGACTTCAATAATTTTTTCAACCTAGTTTAGTATTTAGTAGTTAGTGTCATTTGTTGAATTCTATTTGCCTCTAACTTTTATAGACTTCCTCTGATGATTACTGGCAAGATATTGGAGAGACACAGAAGCTTGCAGTTATAAATGACAAAGTACCGTTCACTGCCAAGCTGAGCATGCGAATGACGATGCCCACTATAGGACCTATAGAACGATCGCCGTCAGTAGAAAGAGAAGCTCAAATAGAGAGAGAGAACTATTTGAGAGAACGGACAGGTTACTAGAACCCAATATCATACTAACATTATAAAGGCGAAAGTTTGGATGTCAGTTACTTTGCACGCAAAAACTACTGAAAGGATTTTGATTATGAAATTTTGTATACGGATAAATTTAAGACTGAATGAACATTTAATGTCATTACCCAGACAAATTCGAAATTCATTGGAGTTTAAAGGCGTCATTAAATGTGAATGGACGTTTGTGCAACCGACCGATAGACCAAAGGACCACGCGGGCTAAGACGTTGGCAGAAAGCTAGCATTATTGTCTCTCTAAAATAACATAACATACATTTATAATCTCATCTAGAAAACAAAGATGTCATGTCAACGTTTTGGACACACAAAGCATAAAGACAATTATACATTAAGCAGTTGCATATTGGCTAACCTTGCTTGAATCATAAATTTAACGTAATCGTTTAGCCAATAATTTTAATAAAAAAATAGGCAATGGAAATAGTAACAAATGAAAATATTGATTTCAGGTCGAGCGTCTCGCAGTGAAGATGTTGACGTTAGTTTATAAAACATTTCACTTTTTACGTTTACACTGATGAAACATTTATAACAAAACATGTAGCAGTTTCCACAATTTATTACTACTATGTTTTTTTGCAAATGTCTCACCATTGGAAAGTGTATACATAAAATATTGTGTATAATTTATTTTTTATGTGATACTAAATATGATAAAGCAAATTCTAATTTCGACAAAGCTTTTTGATAATAGAAAAAAAAATCTATTAAATATGTAAATTAACAAAAAATCATCGTTATAACAATAAAAGACAAGGAAACGTACTTATAGACATGGCTGTCCCTATCCTGGCTTTAATTCATTTATACCTAACAGTTTCTAATGAAGCTGACATTCATTTGTTGTGTAAGGTATTTTAAAAGTTCCTCAATAATATACAAAGTTGAGGTCAAGCTGAAATTTCATCTTTAATTTTACTTTTTTTAAACCATTTACACTCTTTTGTTTCAGCAAAAGTTAAGGGAAATCAACCCGTCGAAAACAAGTGCCATTGACGTTACTAAAGAAGGTAAAAAATAATATATATCTTTATAGATTACATATCTATTTAAAATTTTCAAAATCTAAAAAAAGGAATCTCGAACAAATATTCCAATATAATAAGACTTTACCTTTCAAATTATCAGCTCCTAAAGAAAAACAAGTTGAAGAAACAAAAGACAAGAAACAAGTAATTGAAATATTCGTATACGATGAAGACGACAATGAAATTCCATACGAATTTTATGGTTAATTTATTATTACATTAGTAGACTATAGTTAATTATAATTGAAATAAAAATTGAGATAGTTATTAGTAAGATATTGAAATATAGTAGCTGATACGTATTTAGAAATTAAGATAGCTGCTAGAATTATGTATGTAGTTTATTTGGATTGGTTTGTAAAATCGTTGCTGTATTTGTTTAATCGATGAACAAACTAAACTATTGAAAATCCATCAATAAATAGGTGAACCAAAAATAACTGAAGAAGAAATGTTAGGCGAAGGGGAAGATGCGCCGGTTGATACAACGGAAACGGATGATCAAGATTTGGAAACAAAGTCAGAAGAAGATATAGCCGCTAAAGTGGCAAAATTTGTCGCTGAAGTATAAAACATTATTTTATGGGTAGTTATTGTTTGCAAAATAGTCAAATCGCTAATCCCATGATAACTCCACAGAGGTAACATTTAAGGAAACAGTAAATCATTCAGTCTTAAACTATAAGATATATTCATTATTTAGAAATATCTTAACTGTTATATGAAGAAATATAATGTTTCCTGATGTATAAAAAGCAAAGGCATCGCTTGATTTTGTAGACGAAGTAGCATTAATTTCCTTTATTATATCATTATTATTTTTTATCGAAATTGCTTCTTATCTTTAGGTGAATGAATTAAAAGAAGAGAGAATAGAAGATATGGAGAGAACTTTCGATCAGATTGCAGCCACAGTGAATAGATTCAAATCGGCCAATTATGATCTTGGTTAGAATCATGGTTCAATATTTCACACCAAAACTTCTAATATACCATAATTAATGTACTTGACGTGTAATAATAATTCAAGATTATTTTTCAGAAGAATATTTTGTCTTACAGGTATGGTAGCCGGGAGACAGATGACAACAACTAGTGGAGAATTTATAGTGGCGCATATAGAAAAAGAGATAATGGACTACATAGACGACCAGATAGCAATACTTCCCGACCCAAACTTGAAGAAAAAGAAGGCGAGAAATAATTTAAACCATAGAATTTTTTTATTAAAACTCTACATAAGTAAAGTTACTACAAAAGTATAACTTTCTCCTGAATTTGCGCTAGAAAAACTGACTTATTAACAGGGATTTTTGTTACACAGAGGAAACTATACATTAGATCAGTTTTAGGAAAATAAAATAGCGTTATTGAATGGTTAGGCTACAAACAAAGTTGATTAATAAACTCCTAGTTTTAAGTGCTTATACAAAGATGTAAGTTCAATTCAATATATTCAATTCCCGTGCCACAGTTTTAGTTACCATACTTCTACCTCTGAAACTTGACCGACTTTGATGAAATTTTTATATGTATATTCTAGGTCCGAGAATAGGTTGCTATCTATTTTTTCTATCCCTAAATGGTGGTCCACCCCAAATTTATATAGCAAAACAAAGTTTGCCAAGTCATCTAGTAATTATATTACAAAGGCAAGGTATTTTGTTTCTTTGACTTTAGACGTTATTTTAAGCTTGTTTCTAGGATATCAGAAGTTTCATTATGAATTTGTTGGTCATTATCTCCAGGCTAAGCCGGAAGAAGTGGAAATGGTCCGGCAAATTCTACAGACTTTCTTAGATGAGAACATGGATGTTATTGTGCCTGAGCTAGAAGAGGTTGAAGAGGAAGAGCAACCCATTCCTGACGTAAGATAATAAATAATTATAATATTTTGTTAAGCTCGAATAATATGAAATTTTAAAACCACCTATAAATAATTAAAATATTAATAATAAACTATTAATTTGATATTTCGGTATTAAATTGCATAAAATTACGGCATTACATGGAGTTGAAATTTCGCATGACGTCACGTTAGAGTACGTTTTCTACTCAACTGTGACGTAGCGAGCCCCGACTCCTCAACTGTAGTGCCTGTTATCTAAGCTATTTCTTGTTAAATTGAAGTAAAAAAAATACGTATCTAATATTTTTCTATTATCTGACTGAATGACTAAATAGAATTACATTTTTTTACCCAGTCATCATCCCTATTGTTAATTAAATCTATCAGAGACGCACCTCAATACACAAAAAAAAATCAAATGGTCTAGTTAAAATGTACTTTACTAAATGGATAAAGTACATTTTTACTATGACGCCATTGAAGAGGTCAATATATTTTGTTCTTCTAGATGGCATTAAGAGTTTTATTTATATTTTTATGATATAATCTATTTCTTTTAGATCGTAATGGTGTACTCTGTGCCTGGAATAGGACCAGAAGTAGACTCTGATATTATACATGAGTTCGTTGAGTATGCACTGGATGTGAGTAAAGTCCAGGCTGACATGTTCATGCCTAGAAACATCAGACATTTCATGTGCCCGCCGCTTGAAAAGTAAGTTATTAGACAATATTTACATGTCGATCTTGGGAAGCTAAATTTTTAATTGTAGCCCATAAAAATCTGAAGTAAAATTACAGCACTGATGACCACCTTTAAATTTTCGAGTTACAAGTTTTTGTTTCCAACATCGATATGTATCATAGACACCAAAAAACATAGAACTTTGTTGTTCTACGTTTTTCCTTCCTTCCAGGCCAGTTTAGAAAGAGAGAGGAGACCTTATAGATCTCTCTTTATACATACTCGAGACATTGATGAAACTGTCGTTATCTTTCTTTTCGTGTATTTGGGACTGAGTTATGACAGTGCCATCCTGATAGCTACTCTCCCCATTTTCACACACTAGTACAAGTCGAATCGACATAATTCTAATAATATCAGCCATTCATTTACAAGATTACATAATATTTCTCGCTCTTCCCGAAAATAAGACGCAACAAAAACTTTTTAGTAATTCCTCTCAAATATGGATTATGATTATTGTAAAAGCGCTCACGTCAGCGTATGGATACGTTGTCATTAATTACTTTTTGTATTGTTTACAATAAATTTTATGTTATTTGGTTTAAAAGCTTTTAGCGTTGCTATAGAAAAGTTGGTTATTTAAAATAAAGGTCTTCTATATGTACTCTTCATTAATAATAAAACCATCTTCATTTAGATACGAAGAATACAAGTACGAGATACCGGCTCCGCGTGCACCTAAAGAAGAGGTGGCAACTGGTGGAATTATTACCGATTGAAATTTCATTGTCCTTATTAATCGCCATCGTATCACAAAAAATAAAATCAGGCACGTTAATGATAGTTCTATTGACACCAGTTGTTTTATCGCGTCTTTGCCCGCGTAAATGCATGTAACCCACGCATCTGAAATTTTATCAGCTCCCCATAGATTAAAAAGATTTCATAACCATAGATGACCCCTACAAACATGATGATATTGTAGTAGCACTTAAATGTATATTTTAATAAATGTTTAAATAAATGATAAATGTTGTCGTTGACTTTTATTTCATCATCATCAATTTATTAATGAAATAATAAGTTTTACATACTTGGCAATGAAATAATTAACTATTGATAAGAAATTCACATATGTGTAAAGCACGGATGAAAGTCAGATCACCACAATGTCTAATTTCTACAATCGATTTTTAACTATTCAAAGCATTAGTGACAAAATTGGCAGATTATTATAAACTGACATGTTTTTGAATGTATAAATGCGTATGATTACGAGTACCCACTGAGCATACAGAGTACAGAGTGGGCTGGGTTGGCAAAAATTCACGCTTCGCTAGCTAGATTTGTCTTTAGTATTTGTGCTCGGTTCGCTGTTGTAAGATACTGGTTTAAGTTAGCTTGATCCGTTCTGGTATTTGGGTTCGCGTAGCAGTTATAAGGAACTGATTTGACTTGCTCGTTTCGTCCTTAATATTTTTGCTCGACTACTTTTTTAAGGAACTGGCTTGATTTGCATTAGTATTAGTATCAATATTTAAGAAAACCGCGCGTCTGTCGTGCTACAGCCACGAGAAGCGCCACAATCGACTAAATACCTCATGTTAAGCGTGCTTAATATTTCTATTGACCGCTCTTGTACGGAGCTCGTTTCGGAGACCGCGGTCGCCTTGTTGTTATTCGTAAGCGATGATCCTTGAAGGAGAACAGGTAGGATTATACTCATAAAAATAGAATAAAACATCAAAAACTTTACATCCGTTTTATTATTATATGGAATAGTAAATTAAACCCCCCATTGCTATCGTCCTATCACCGAAACACGTTGGCTGCCTACTGGCTATCCCCGTCTCTCTCTAGCAAGGTCATATGGACATAGTCTTTTTCTATTTGAGAGCCAAAATTTATTATACATTAACAATAATAATATTTGTACACAAATCATATGTAGCCGATTATTAATCAGAAAAATAATCTATCTTCAAATACATCTTATAAAAACATGGTATGACAAAGATAGAAAATGAATTTGGACAATCTTCTTTCATATGATTTCATATTTCGTATTCACTTACTGTAATTATTAGTGTAAACAATTTAAATATTATATTTGATAACAAAAATAATCTAATAAATTCATTTTTCACATATAAAAAACTTTTTTATATAAAATATGTAACCTAACCTAACCGAATCGAGACGGGGACTATCAAACTTTGAGCATTTATATATACCAGCACTTAGTTTATCATTCCAATGTTTTTACAAAATATAACACATCATTATAGACAAAATGTTGACATTAAAGCGAAACAAAATTTTGTCTTAAAGCATTAATATATAAGGCAGATTTTTGAATGCAACTCGACTTTTATTAATATAATAAATTGCGTAAAAATAATTAATAGTCAAAAGCATAATTAATTTTAAAATGCTAAAAACATTATAGCCCCAGTAACCAAGCCAACGAACTAGACCGTAATATATTCAACTCGCTTATTTGTAATTTATAAGCCTATGAACATTTCAAAGACACTAGATTATTCATTAAAATATTATCAAACTTATCGGTATTATCAGAACTTTGATTTTCATTCTCATCAACGAAACAAAAACAAGAAAAATTATAACTCTAATATCCACGTAATAGGCCTCTTAAAACCCGATCAAGGACCCAATCGCGTCATATCAAAAAAAAACCATCGGCCATTGTAATAAGATAGATCTCTTACTCATATTTATACCACCACCATTTAGTTTTTAAACATATTACCTATGTAATCTATATCTATATCACATATGGCAATGATTTCAGGGCACGATGGAGTCCTGTTGGACCTGTGGCAGAACTTTTTGCCATACCAATATTTCTTTAATTGTGGAATAAATTGTCATTGACTTAAGTTTTCCGAACAATTCCCTCAATAGTGTCACTAATTTTACTGAAATTTATCTTTATGATAACGGCTATGTGAAACAGATAAACTTCAGAAAATAATTCGAGATGTCTTCAAAAAGACAGCAAAAACGTATAAACTAAGTCGAGTTACGTCCAGAAACCAATCGAAACTTCACATCGCTCCAAAATTCTACACTATCAAGACTACGAAAAATAAAATTGAACAACTTTTCCGCATCATATATTTTGGGTTTAACTTTTCAGGTAACTAAATTCTATATACACAATTATATAAATAGCCGCACAGACATTTTTCCTTGTTCATCTCAAAACAAATAATTAGAAAAAGCACACAACGTAAAACTTTACAAGAAAATCAATAATAATTATGTAAGACCAAGTAGTTTCTTTTTCATCTTTGTTCAAAATTTACATATAATTATATACTTACAAGCAAAAACAATCATAATTCACTATCGTCCATTCGACGTGAAACAGAGTATTTTTTACACTAAGGTTCGTTTCACTATACAATCGCTTATTCTGACTTATCTTTTCTAATTTCTCTCAAAAATATAAATGCAGCTTTCATATAAGTTGATTTTACGGAACAAGGAATCGCTTGGAAGTACCTAGTTGCAAGGAATTCAAAAGATAATTCAGAATAAGTAAAAAGGGAAAAATACCTTCAACTACACTGGAAGAAATCGGAACGCATCATAATAGTTGGATATTAGAAACTATTTTCTCTTAAAATATTACTATCATGCGAAATATATGAGTGAAAAGTCATATCTCGTTTATTCAAACGAATGATCTTTGGATAATAAATAATCACGTCTAAAATAACTTTCTTCGCATCAATAACTAGTCAGTATATTTTCATTCTTCAAATATACAAATAAGCGGGCATATTATCTATACAACAATTACTGATCATTGAGAAATTATAAGACCAATCGATCGTCATTATTCCCCTTCAAATATTTATTAGTATCCGTGTTTACTCGCTGGACCTCATCTACAACATCTGGTTAATATCTTAATAGCGAAGAAACAAATTTATAATAAATTTCAAACATCCAACTATTTGATCACATAATAAGACAGCATCCGAATATATGTAAGACCGAAAGCATTCCGCCTTAGACTTAATATATGAAAAAATGCTAACACTTAAAATAACAATGTCATATAAACTTAGGCATTACTTAACAAGTAAATCTTACACGAGATTATTACATGGGATGCAATCAAGAAGTCCTAAATTTCAATTTTGGTAGACGAGATCTAAATAAATATAAGAATATATCGTGTGTCTAAATGAATATGGTAGCTGTGAAATTAAGCACCTCTGTAATGCTAAAGGCGTCCATCTTAAGGCTGAACATTAAATCGAAGAAGTTCAAAAAACATTTAAAGTTATAATAACGTATCATGACGTTTCAACACTGACAGTAATACTTAGCTCCCAAAAACAGTAAGTCGGAATGATAAAATGATTCATTCGTCCACGAACAATCTTATTGCTTTTTTGTTAAAATATAAACTTAAATGTGCATTCTTATATTTCTGTATATCTATTTATTTTTTAAGAGACAAGACAAGCGAGTCTTCATCGATTGCAATACTCGTAAACATGATTTAGCGAATCCCACAATTTTGTCATATTAAAAATAACAATATTTTGCTATTTATAATAAATTATGACCAACCACATAAGCAGTAGAGATAACTGCTATATGTTCTATATTGATATCGAACAGAATATAAGTAATATTTGCCTTTATGTCAAAATGTTATTTACTTGATATTATTAGACTTTATATATTTAATTTATTTTATTCTTTAGGGTTTCTTTCGAGAAGTAAAACGTGATTACAGTTAATATTGATAATACATTTTTAGCATGAACACATTTCTTTTACCTCTCAAAAATAATACCTCCTTGTAAAAATTAATCCACTTTCGTTGTGCAAAATTAGCAAATTTAAATCTGATTATATCATCAAGATAAGTAACAATATTTCAATTGAATTATGATATAAAATAACACAAATTATTTTTATTTAAACGTTGGTGTCACTGAAAATCATTTGATGTATATCATTTCTGAAAACAAAATAGAAATAACTAATTCGATTTTTCTACATCTCATTCGATTTATCAATGATATTTGCTGATATCCCTTTATCAGGTCTAGTTTTTTATTGAAAAATGATTCGTTAACCTATCAAATAATACAAATCTAGAGTAGATCTAACTTTAGGAAGTATTTTATTCAACATTGAGCCCTCTCATAATTAGGCATAACTTTTGATATAAAATAAAACTTCTGTCTTTTTATAATACTAAATAATGTCCCAGAATCCAACCAAAATATAAGACGAACTTTATTAAAATTTCAAAGCATCAACCAAACCGTTTGAGCTAGCAATGATAATGTTTCATAGCCAGTTTACTCAACGTGTGCAGCATAAAAGCGTCATATTAACTTTTAAATTGTACAAAATACGTCATACGTTTCATTGACAACCTTACGAATGAATCTTGTAAACCTACTTATTTTGCTGCGAAAGTATGAGAGTCTTATATAGTCACGTATTGAAGTTAAGATATTGTCAGTTTATTTATATCTGTTAAACATAAAACTGATCAGAGTTCTGCTTTTGTACATCGAAGCAGTTTCTGACCATTATTTACGTTCGTGTTAGACTTTAGAACAATCATCCTCAAGGGTTTCAACGCACCTACAAACTTCAATCGCAGAATATACGGGACAAAAATTTGAAACTACACTCCTAGCCTCTATCAAACCGCGCACTCCACATTTCTATTTATTTTATCATTACTTTTTTTTCATTAAATAATTTACTAATAATCGCTTCTTCAACAATTTTAATGGAAATTTGTTTATATTTTACATGGGAGCCTATAATTATCGAATAGATTATAGGTTATTCTTTGACTAGTACAATATCAGCTATCTGTATTAGTTGAGCTTTCACATCTAATCGTAATTACATGAGATGTTTAGCTATATTTATATTATTTCGATAAATCCAGCTTTGGCTAGTAATCAGAGAATCTTTGACACAATTTTATATTCGATGCATGTAAACATGTCAACATATTATTATTAAATATAAATAAATTTGATTCCCTCAAATGCAATTCGAACGATGCAAAGGAATTTCAAATATAGGTGACCGTACAAATCAACTATCGCGTCGCTCGCTGGGTTGAACAGGGATCTTAAAAACAAAGTACTATGTATCTACGTGAATAAATAGACTCAATTTTAATAATTATTGGGCCAGAATCGTAAGTATAATAAATTTAGTAAAACATCTAGTCCAGGCAGTGGATCATAAATTATACACTGTCAGACGCCTTTTTTTATTACTATCCTAATAAGGGTCATTGCCAATGACGTTTAAAATATAAAAATGATAAAAATTGGACCCAAATTCTACTGAATATATCAATAAGACAAAGTAAAAATGATTATGAAACCCAACATTAAATAAATAGGTGATTAAATCACCCCAATACGCCTCCCCGCGACGTTTGAAAGTCTCACGAGCGAGGACTTATATTAAGCTGTCCAGTTATGAAGCAGACATGAGAATGATTTCTAAACTATTTTAAAGGTACTCATTTGCGCGCGTGACCGAACAATTTGATTTAATCGAGGTACATTCAAAATAATTGCATCGTTCATAAAGTGAACATAGTTAATGGGTAGGCAAAGATTTTCTACAAAATTTAATTGTAATAGGCATGATTTATTTTTTTAATTTGTTACAAAATTATAACGTTCCTAAAATATCCTATGAACTCGCCAAAGGAGGGCAACGATCTATCGTTGTAATACTAATCGAAGTTACGTTTAAACTGCATAATTATCAATCCAAAGAATCAGATGGTTTTACATTACTAACAAAATTAATGACGAATAATCTTCCAACAAACAAACCATAAGAAATATAGGATTTACTCCCGGTTGCACAAACGTCTATTAAGTGTCCGTATAGTTTAAAGCGACATTACCGATACAAATTTTCAAATTTAGAACATTCATTAGAGCCTAAAGTCGTAATTTTAATGGACCTTTGTGCAACTAGATGTGTATGCTTTTGGCTCGATAAATACGCAGTGCCGTTAGTATTAAACAACTGGTGTTTTGATAAGTCTGCATTATCACTATTGTACATTAATTACTATGCAATAACAGAGTTTCGAACATTTTACCGTAATCAGATAACCGTTGAGCTGTATGTAATATAAGGTACAAAAATTATCTGGAATTACAATTACTTACTTTTTAACAATTAGTAACAGAACTAACTTATTTGCCTAGCGCTTGGGAAGTGTGTGGCACGGCACGATATAAAAACAACTTAGAAACAATTTTCAATTTTATAGGAAAAAATTACATCGCACTGTGTCACAATTAAGGAAGCAAAAGTACAACAGCCCCATGAAAGCCTATTGAAAAAGTCACCTAATATTCATTTGCCATTGTGATTCTTATAGTTTAAAAATTCCCTATTGGTGTCAACGTTCCCCGCCGCCATTTGGGATAGGTCAGCGTGAAATTGTCGAATGTCGAAAGAGTTTTCATACGCGAGTACGGAAGCGTTCTATTTCTTTATGGTATCGAGGCGATGTATTTGATTTTTTATTATAAAAGCGGTCGGCATCAGGCTATGGCAAGCAAACGTGCGGCTCTTGTTAAAAATTCCAGTATGTAGCGCCATATATTGCGTAATGCGGTGGAACGGGAAAATAAAAATCTCCATAAGAAAAACACGGTCGCCACTTGGGTTAAGATGTGAACTATGTGTAATCTGAAACAAAAAAAAATTCAAATCTATAATTATACTCATAATCTTATATTCTTATTCTTCTTTATTTAGCATAATGGCTAAATAAAGAAGAATACACCAATGTTAAATCATGTAATACATGTGACCAACTGTAAATGCAACCGGGGCCAAAGGATTAGCATGCACAGGAAAGGTCGACATAATAATATTTTAGTCACCTGTCCCGTGACTCGTTTATTCCAAAACCTGAACCTCTTGCACAATTGCAGGCTGAATACTCTAAACACTACAATCGAGCTCTCTCTAAACCTTACTATTTATTAACAACTAATCAATGCATTCCATCATCATCAGCTCTTTTGCGTGCCCACTGCAGGAATTCAGGCCTTCCTTATGACTGGTTAAGGAGGATGAACCATGACCCTCCTCCGCTTGCCAAATGTGGATTGAAGGGTATTAACGACTGCAAATTCAGCCGTGACAAACAGCTTTACGTGCTTTCCGAAACATGGAATAGATCTTTTGGAATAGATTTTTTCATCCATCGTTTCACCATCATCAAAACTCACCTTCGTATCAAAGCCCTCGATTTGGGTAGCGTATCAGGACTCTCCTTGAACAGAAACCGCCTTATTCCCAGTACATAAGACTCAATGTACGCGTCCCAGTCAATGTTCCTTACGTTGAAGTCGAACGTTCTTCTGTCTTCTTGCGAGAGAGCAGCGCAGAGAGCTTGTACGTTGTCGTCCGCAAACGACCATTGGCGGGTAGTGAAATATTCCAAGCAGGCGGCCGCTTTTTCTAATTTATTTTGAACACGGATCATCCTAGAATAAAAATTTGTAATTTTATGATAATTGTCATTCAACAATTCATTGTCATCATAAGACTGTTAAAGCCCCCGTTGCCAGGATATGGTTGGCCAAGAGATAACCTACCAATTTTAACAAAAGTTCCTGTGAGATTTCATTCCCGCTAAAGTTGGTATGACGTCTTATCTGTTTTCCGAGATATGAGAAATTTAAAGTAATGGATGGTCACTATCGTAATAATTATCGCAATAGGAAATCAACTTATGATGATCCACTTTAGATGATCCACTACTGTTAGGTTCACATAAGGATAAGTCCTAGCACATGGACCTAGTACAAATTCGTAGATGCTAACGCCTGTATAACTTTTTAAGCTAAACTTTTTTTGACACTCACCATTACACAAACGGCTATTAAAATTGTCATTAGTTTAAAGAGACATTACCGATACGAATTTTCCAATTTATAACATTCATAAAAGATTAAAGTCGTCATAAAACTGTTAAATGGACGTTTATGCCAATCAACCCTTTTTCTCCGTCCCCTCCCCCTATGCTTGTATAAATATCGGTACTATATGTTTGAATTGACACTGAATTTTCCAAAAACAGTATATTTCATTACTGACGTCATCACCATGACGATTCAGAATCTCCCCTGCTCCTACCCTACCTCATTAATAATAAGGAAATATATAACTGAATAAATGAAGTCACCATCTACTAGATGCACAAACGACATTAGTGTAAAGCGACATTAGTGTAAAGCGACATTACCCATACGAAATTGAAATTCATTTGAATTTAATGGCGTCATTAATCAATATAGACGTTTGTGTAACGACCATATAAAATTTATCAATTTATTTAAAAAAACAATAGGTCATTCTTTTTAATTTTTTATTCTTTTTTTATGGGATAGGGGGCAGACGAGCAGACGGATCACCTGATGGTAAGTGATTGCCGTCGCCCATGGACACCTGCAACACCGGAGGGGCTACAAGCGCGCTACCGGCCTTTGAGGGATGAATATGCTCATAGGGAGGGAGGTTGAGGGGTGGAGGGAAGGGATTGGGGGGGTTGGGCCTCCGGTACCCTCACTCACACGACGAAACACAACGCAAGCGTTGCTTCACGGAGGTTTTCTGTGAGGCCGTGGTATCACTCTGGTCGAGCCGGCCCATTCATGCCGAAGCGTAGCTCTCCCACTGATTAAATTTTGTACATTAAAATGTTTAAACAAAACATTAAAATGTTTACGTCATAGCTTAGCTTTTAAGTTCCACTAATGGTTGTTAGCAGTCAGACTGTCAAACGATATTGCTTTTATGGTTTCGAAGTATACATACATAGGCTTATTTCCCGAAGCTCTGGCGACAAGATCCATCACTATGGCGGGCACGCGATGTTGAACTAGAGAGAGAGCATTGTGCTTCAGACGATTGTTGGTTATATCACCGCCGGGATACCAGAGCACTTCACCTGCACAACAAAATATCATTATCTACCTCCAACTTCTCATCAATCGAAGCTAATTCGCTAAAACTATATGCAGAGCTTATGATGCACCACAGAACAATAGATATGATGCCTGGGTAAAAAAAATGAAATGCTATTTAGTACATCAGTTAGATAATACGAGGGTCAAACTGAAAGTTCTTAGAAAATCAAAAACTGATTACATTAGCCAGTTATTAGTTTTATTATATCTTTTCAAAATATTGTCCATTCACGTCAATACACCGCTGCATGCGATGGAACCACTGGGAAAAGCACTTTGCCCACTCGTCCTTAGGGGTCTCTTCAATGGCATCGCGATACGCAGCCACCGCTTCTTCAGCATTCATAAACCGCTTTCCTTTAAGTTTTTCTTTAATTTTTGGAAATAAATAAAAATCACAAGGCGCGAGGTCGGGGCTATACGGCGGGTGACCCAGTAATTCAACGTTTGATGTCGCCAAATAGTCGATCGTTCGCTTGGCGGTGTGCGACGAGGCGTTGTCGTGGTGAAGGAGGATCCTACTGCGAGGTCGTTTCTCTCGAACTTTTTCCAAGACAAGTGGCAAACAATTGGTAGTGTACCATTCTGCAGAAACTGTTTTTTGATCCTCTAACACAATTGTTGCAAAATGACCTATCCTTCCAAAGAACGAGGCCACCATTTTTTTTCCCGCACTTCGATCTCTCTTCACTTTAGTTGGCAACTCCTCGAAAGGAAACACCCACTGAGCAGATTGTCTTTTGGTTTTAGGATCATAACAGTAAATCCAGCTTTCGTCACCTGTTAGTATGTCGAACACAGCATTTGAGTCACCTCCGTTAAATCTTTCAATCATTTTACGACACCAATCCACACGATGGAGTTTTTGAGCCTCAGTCAAATTATGAGGTATCCACCGGGCGCAAAGCTTCCTGACCGCTAAATGTTCGTGGAGGATTTTGTGCACTTGACTCATACCGATGCCTATACTTGTCCGAATCTGTTGATAGGTCACTCTTTTGTCAGTCTCTATCATACGCCGCACAACACAGATGTTATCTTCAGTCGTCGCCGTAGAAGGCCGTCCCTCACGTAAATCATCAGTGAGATTAGTGCGACCACGTTTAAACTCATTAAACCAGTTGTAAACAGTCGCACGAGATGGGGCTTCATCGTGAAAGGCCAATCGTAGTCTATCATAACTTTCTTGTTGACTTAAATGACATCGAAAGTCATAAAAAATCATTGCACGAAAATTTTCTCGTGTTAAATTCATGATGACGTGACACAGACAATTTTCAATTTGCCGCCAAATCGTAAAACAAATGACAAATGAATGAAATATATACTCAGTAATATTGGCAAAGAGTTATATTTTCAAATTTTAGAATAATTTTTTTATTATATTGTTTATAAGTGGCCAGTTCTAAGAACTTTCAGTTTGACCCTCGTAGTAAAATATATGATATGTATTTGTTTTCCTTCAATTTAACATGGAATGGCTTAGACAATAGGCATTAACGTTGCGGAGTGGGGACTTGCTACGTCACAATATTGTAGACAATGTACAAAAGTGTGACGTCATGCGACATTTCAACTCAATTTACAGTCTTATTACATTTTTCATATAGTAAGAGCGTTAGCCGGACATATTTTTATGAAATTGTGACACTGACATTTGTAGATATTGCAAACAGGGGCGTGAAACATCAACACATCTCCTGTGTGAATGTGGACCACTGATCTACAAACGAACATACGTCTGTCAATAATAATTCAAAGTAAATCGCAAATGGCGTTATAGCAACTTCTGCCCTGTCACAACAAATGAAACAGCCATAGGCATCAAGTCAAGCTCTTCTATTATCTACCCAACAAAAATATTTCTTTAAAATAACAGATAAAGTTGAAGAAACTGTTATACCTACTCAGAGCCGCGATCGCTACGTCCTTTCTTTTCGAGTTTTGTGTTTTTTGCGATAAAGTCAACGCTCTTTTGATAATGAACACTTTCTCACCTATTTCAACTTTTCTTTCTTTGTATCATAGTAACAACTTATAACTTTAGAACGAGATGAAAATAATAGATGTTTCACAAGTTGCAAAACGTCATCAAACATCATTGAAGTAGATAGGTAAATCTTTAAATTTAAACAATTTACATTGAGTTATATTTTTGTGTGGCAGCACTGGTTGGTAGTATTTAATAAATATAGCAACACTCACTGAACGGATGTTTCCGCATATATTTGAAGCTGGTCTTGACAAATCGCTGCCACGTGATGGGGTTCTGTTGGCCGGTACAGCAGTTATATACCACGACACCTTCCCCTCTACAGCACAAACATAGAGAAATAATTATCAAATACAGATCTAATTCAACTTAATAAAATTATTTCGAATATTTCTGCCATAAGACATTCGTGCACACAGAACAGCGTTAGACTAACACTAGAATTTACTTTTAGTTTAGTTTTAACAGTAGTGGTACATCAGAACTGCCGCAATATAATTCGATCTCTTACCCACCATTTGTTAAATATTGCCACTAGAGCAAATGTATAACAATTATATCACATATCAATAACATCAAGCATGAAAAAAATATATTAAACTAGCTCTTTTGCTGCTACTTCATCCGCGTAAATTATAGTTTATATTATCATCCTGGTCTTATGTAGCTTCCCTTATGTGAAAGAATTTTACATGATCGGAGCAGTATTTCCAAAGATACGCATATAAACAAGCATACAAAGTTAATAATAATAATGATTATTTATATCTCCGCATATTTCACAATTGTCATTGTATTCTTATTATCGTGCGTAGTCTCCTGGGGTGCGACGGCCTTAATCTGTAATTATGCATCTAACCATAGGATACGACATCTTGGATATGTTGAGGTGTTATTTCGTTAATTTTCCTACTTTTAACAATGTCTTTTGGTGGATAAACGACTGGCAACATTGTTGTCGAATCCATAACCAACCTTTTTATCATTCGTTCATCATTATTAAAGTACATTTCAAACAAGTAGTATAATCAAACGAATATCGACATAACATCGATAGATATCGTATCTTATGCAGTGGCGTAACTACAGGGTGGTAAGTCGGCAAAATGCCACCGGCCCCCAGCTGGAAAGGGCCCCCGATCAGAGGAGACGACTTACTCCTGATATTTATTATTACGCAATTAGTAAACAAAATTGTATATCCGATGAATCTACCACGGGCCTCAAATTTCTAGGCCCTAGAGAAATGTACTCTTGACTCATTTCTCTAGGGCCTATAGAGAACTCTTGACTCTACGTATGACCTAGAGAACATAGCTCACCGTCTCGAATGCGTCCTCCACGCGCTCACTATCATCAGGTTGATGACGGTGTCCACAGGAACCAGATCCGCCACTCTCGACCCTGTGCCGAGCATCGTGCGGAATATACCTTTGCCGACGGCCGCTATGATACCGTTGGGACCGTTCCAGTTGTCCACCCAACCCTTCACGGGCTCTCTTAGAGATGACAACACTGCGAAACAGGGCATATCGTCACTTACAAATAACAATAACCTATCCAAAGAATAAGGTTACATCTGCACAATCTTTAATTCAATGATATTATTTATTGAAATCACTTTAAAATCGTCCTAATTTCTCGTAATAAACTCGTTGGAACGGTGACTACAGCTGTTCAAAATTCAACGTCTAGCTTGACGTCAAGCACAGCGCTGTCACATCATAGAGATATACACCCGGTTTCTGAATTGAGTATTGTAAGTTAAGCACATTCTCAAACTGTGCTTAAACGTTACTTAAACATGTTTCCGTTTCTGATTTAAGTTTTTTGATGATCAATTGATAGCAGTTTGATAAAAACTAGGACATGTTTTTCTTGTGAGTTAAAAAAAACGGCAATGGGCTAATGGTGATGATTGACTTTTTGAATTGACGTTATAAAATATAATATGTGACACTAAATTTCCCATATATATATAAACCTTCCTCCTAAATCACTTTGTATAATACAGTTAAAAACCGCATGAAAATCCATTGTGTAGTTTAAAATCTGAACGCACAGACAGCGGGAAGCAACTTCATATTCAATAGCAAGAAAATCGCCACGATGGATGTGTATGTGTAAATATGCTGTCACCTTAACCTCATGCCATAAGTATGGATGTTAGTCCAATCAGATTTATTTGATAAAACGAATGAGTAATGTTTCGCGAAATTATTGAAAAATCCTCAAAAACTTTAAATTATTAATTTGAAATCCCTTTTAATATTAAATTATAATTAACATATCTACTTCAATTAATTATTTTTACTTTTTGCTCTATATGAGATATTCAGTCAGTTGCATAAAAGTACATTAAAATTTTCATTAGTTTAACGCAACATTACCCATACAAATTTTACATTAATTAGAGCTTAAAGACGTCATTAAACCTTAATGGACGTTTGTGCAACTGGCAGTTTATCTGTTAATAAAATACGGCTTTTACACAGGCGATAAGGGAACCATTTTTAGGGTTCTATATTCTACGCTTTGTCTACTTTACAATATGGTACACCCAAATGTCACTTTTCTAGGGTCCATACGATATCTCACACTCAACCCGAGAAAAGTGACATTTCGTGTGGACAAAGTGAGTTTCTCGAGTTTATCATGCGTGAAGGGTCCAACTGCTTTACTCTCTATCCATAACTTAAACCACATGATACGACATCTTAGCAATGCTATGGTGATATTACGTTTCATTATTCTACTTTGACATATCATTTAGCAGATAAATTTGGTATAAATGACTAATGTGTTAAAACTACTCTAATATGCGTAATCTTCTTTTTTATTATTCGTTCGACCTTAATAAACAAGGTACATATCGAAGTAAAATCTAATGAAAGAAAGCTAGCGGTCACACCCCTCAATGAGATATACGAGAACACGAGGCTTGTGACAATAACACTCACCGATAGATGGCCTCACGATCGCTACAGGTAAATTGCCGCACTCCTTTATGAGCATGTCTTCTGCCAAAGCCTTTGTGAAGGTGTAAGTATTCGGCCGGTCGCCTTTAAAAATATACAATATGGTAATCGACATATAGTTAAAATATTACACAAGTAACTTAACATTTTCTACTAATAAGTATCGAGATGTTTCAGTTTACATATTATTATAATATAACCTTGTCAATTGCTTTTAGTTGGACGATAAGGATAGTTATAAGGAAATAAGGAAATATATTCAATTTCATTTTTGCTCTAATAAGCAAGAGTATTCATTTTTAAAATGATAAAACATTTGAGAATCTCTTAACAAGTGTTTTCATTTGTTTTGGCACACCATTTGCAAGTATTTTTTTTTATTTTATTTATAACTCAACTAGTTGTCTTCCCGCGACTTCACTGTGACTCACTCTGAATCCCGTCTGATTCTTATCTGTCATCTAACTAAGGGCTTATATGTATGTTATATATAAATATATGTATTATAGAATTTATAGTATTTATGTACTTCATTTATTCATTAAATATAGGTAGAGATATGATATCATGATAAAGTTTGAGACACCATAAGCCACCCTAAATCTAATCTAATGTAGATATAATTTTCGTTCATTTCACAAGGTTGCCTGGAAGAAATTACTTTTTAGTAATAAGGCCGCCAATTGTGCATTTACATTTATTGTATCCCTATATTTGTTTTGTCTATTGGTGTACAATAAAGAATTTTTCATTAATTCATTCATTCACACATATAATACACTTTCCCGTAGGTGAAAGAATTTTTAAATACAGTTTTTCTGAGCCTAAACAAACAAATCTTTCCTATTTATAGGAGTAATATTACTTTAGATTATTCTATTTATACATTAAGAACTATTTTGTCAATTTTATTTCTAATTTAGATATACTAACTGCTCCCTACCAAGTTCGGAAACCACTATTCAAAAAAATATCACCCATGTTTTTTTTTACATTCAGAACCAGAAATCAAACAATTCTGTCACATGTTGATAGTAAGTAACATGATCAAAAGCATGACGTTCTACTTTAATAAAAAGATCCAACTCCTCACCCACTAAGTCTGGTGTAATTCTGTCTACCAGGTCGTCTGGTAAAGTCTGCACTAACGTGACCACGTGCTCAGGATGCGCAGGCGGCGCGTACACTGTTTCCTCCACACGTTCCCTTTCACAGTTGCAGTATGCGGTCGATACATGAACCAGAGCCTAAAAACCGTAATTTTGCTATATTCGCAGGAAAATAGTAATTAGCTGAACAACTCTAAGGTCTTCAGCCAACTCTCCGTGAAAGATAGAAAACTACGGCATCAGTTCACAAATCTTTGGCAGAAAGTCGAGAATCTATTGTTGGGAAAACTAAAACCTTATTGAAATTGACGTCTTCTTAAAAAGTAAATTTGAAAGAACATTTCGTTTGACTTCAGAACTTAATTAGAGTCGTTACTTGAAGGTTGAATAGATATATTCATAAAATTATACAGATATTTTCAAAAAACGATCATAGAAATTCGCATAAGAAATGACGAAACCAGGATCAAAGTACACTCAATTAAGTTATCCAAAACTGTGAAATTTCTACACTCTCCAAATGCGAAATACCTGTGAACGGTCATTGTTTTCTGATTGCAAAAGGACTTTCATTATCACCGTATCAACATATCAATGTTCCCACTGTTGGGGCTCAGTTCTTCGTAATGGATGGAATAGAATTAAATCAAATAGAGAGAATGCGGATTGGTGGGTATTAACGACCTCAGATGAAGGCAAGACCAACGGCTTAACATGCATTCCAAAACACAGGAGCTCGTGATCATAAAATCTTATAGGTACATTAGCAAAACTAAAGTACGAACCTCCAAGCCGAGCATACGATGACACAATTGCACCAGCTGCTGCGTGCCCAGCATATTGATGGTGACAGAGAGCTTCAATTTCTCATCAAACTTCACTGTAGCCGCCGAGTGAAATACTACTGATACCTGTAACGAATTCAATAGCCGTTGAGCTTACCAGATGGTGGCTGATGGTATGGTTATTTCATATAAAACCTTTATTAGAGTTCTGTCTCCCCCACATAACAGTGTAACAATTGTATGAAACTTGGTATTAATTCTGTGGGATTGGCTTTCTGAGGAAGATAAAATAAATTGTTACCCTAATTTATTCCAGTTTGAACTAAATCTGATGTTTATACATATGTTTTTGGGTTGCAAGAACGTATTGTAATAGCCTGCAATATTTCCAAACGGAAACTTTTAGCAGCACATAGTGAAAGCTGACAATCAGAGGTTTGAAGGGACACTGCATTTCAGTGGTATTGTTATAAAACATGTTGTATGATAATGATATCTCAGATCATTGAATTTTTGTAGATACTCCGAATACAGACATGGTACAATCCCAACTTTAAGGAAACCCTTAGAATTTCCAAAAATGTAAAACCGGTTCCAATTATTACAACTGCATTAAGAGTTATGAATTAATGTTACGTGGCTTCCACATATTGTTCTTGACTGAACTATTATTGTAACGAACATCGTCACAGAGAGGTAAGTTGAAGGTTTACCTTAACGTATTTATTAGTAAGCGCGTTAAAAAATTTGTATGGAGAATTGTATTTGTTCTTATTTAAGTTCTTAATATTATTATCAACCGGTATTCATACTAAAATCTTAACACTTTCACGATCGAAGATAAACGGTAACGTCCTAAACCCTCACACTGGGCTCTCGGTTTCATACCTTTTGACAGAGCATGGCTTGATCCGCGGAACTGATGCCCAGTTCTGGTTCAGTGATATCACCAACGATTGGCACGATCTTATTCAACTCTTGGGGCCTGTCTTTCCGCAACGTCTCGAAAAGCTGGTGATAAAGAAAAATAAACAAAATATTTAAGAGAAGTAAGAAATTAATTTTCCTTTCGTGATGAAGAAGCCACTACATAATACCAAAACTTTCAATATCGGCAACATTGGTTATAGCGATTAACGGTAAACTGTTCCACATTATAATCTAGTGAGGAATGACTTGGAAAATTTTCATTTGATTGACTTCAAACTACTACTACCTACTGACCTTTTTTCACTCTTACTTACTGTCTTGTTACTATGGCTAGTAAGGCCAGTTAAGTGCCAGAAGTTTGCTATATTTTAGAGTGTATATTTGCCCATAGTCACGATAGAAACTAATATGATAGGAGTCTAAACTCTTCGAGAATTTTGATAACACTGCATAAAATTCATTAAAATTGCCGTCGGCTTCTAACTTTCTTTGTATGTCTCGAAGGAGATTTATCACTCGCTCAGGTTAGGTCGTTAATCTAGTGTAATGATACCTTTGTAATAATCTAGTGTAATAATCATTGTAAACCAAGTCTCATTAGAAAAAAAATAGTGAGAAAACGATTACATATGTTTTAAAAACATTTAACACTTAAAAACATCGTTATTTTCAAGATAGAAGCTTCAATTACTCTCAGAGTGACAGATAAATTTTTTATGATTGACTGGAATATAATCGAATCTGATTAACTAAAACCTGAAACATAGAAGATAACTTTCCCTACTTCTTCATTGAGATTACAATCTGAACCTTCTACTCCGAAAATAAAATCAGAATTATTTAATAATTGCATCATTTACCCAGCAATAGTTTAAAACTAAGAAATTTATTTCATATCGGCCAAATATCTAGATTATGTTTTCGTAGTAGGCGTTTACCTAAGGAAGTCAACCGATATCAAATTCAAATCCTATTACGTATGTAAAGTGAGTAATAATCAATAATCTTATCTGACATGTTAACGTAAGAAAGTTCCACAAAATATATCAAATAGACTCTTTGAAAATGGAATTAAATTTCCTGTTGATATGGCGTCTTCATCGCCAAATTTAATTTTGATATATAGAGTGTATAGAATTATAAATTTACACTAAGCAGCACATAAGATTATTACAATTGTTTATTAATAACTATAAATAAGTTATAAATAACCAATTGTAGAAACTTTAATGCTGATCAATTGCATATTTATTTTTGAGAAAAAGACTTTCAACGGTTTCGGGTATTTGAAATACTTACATTTATTAAAAATAAATTCATTTCATTGGATGCATCTTTTTTTGTAAAGATTTTTTGTCAAGTAATAGGGATGATGACTGGGTAAAAATAATGCAATTCTATTTAGTCCGTCAGACAGATAATAGAAAAATATTAGATACGTATTTTTTTTTACTTCAATTTAACAAGAAATAGCTTAGATAACGGGCATTAAAGTTGCGGAGTGGGGGCTCGCTACGTCACAGTTGAGTAGAAAACGTACTCTAACGTGACGTCATGCGAAATTTCAACTCCATGTAACGCCGTAATTTTATGAATACGAAAAAAAATAAAAATATACGTGTTTAATATTTTTTAACACTCTACCTGACGGACAAACAAACAAAAATTAGTCATCATCCCTATCGATCTTTTGAAAAAGCAAGTATTTCTTTGCAAATAAAATCCATTGACAATGCTACTTGTTTGGACACTCGCAGTGGCAGCTGATAATTATGGCAACATAATGTCAGTCACTTAATACAGTAACATGAACCTTCTGGATGGTAAAGACATATAGTATAGCCAAAAGGATAACACGAGGACGAACGTCATGCAGTAAAAAGGTGGTAAAAAAAGGTGGTTAAACAGAACAAAACTAGTATCAGGAGTGTTTATTTGCTATAATATGGTTCAAAAAGTCATCAACATATTTTGTAGATCCAGTCATAGTGTGCAGATAATTTATTGTTGTTTATCAACACGTCGAAGCTGAAGAAAAGATGGAATTCCTGTATAGAGTAGTATTACTAAATGAAGATAGATAGAATGCAGAGAAGTTGAAATAGAAGGTAGGATTTTTTCTATTTGGAAAATGATGTGTCCAAGAATGAATTGTCCGATGAAATGATGGTTCATCGAGACATGTGGGCAATGTGAGACATTGCTTTAACCTCCAGTGAAATGAAGAACAGAACATGCAAATAATCAACATTTTTATATCATCTCAAAACCAATTTTTAAGCCTTAAGATGTTTTTTTATAAAAAAAAATAAAAAATTTTTTTATAAAAATTAAAATTTGTCCAGATTTTCCTCTCAGACTTAAACACAGCTAGATTAAAACAAAGGAAAGATTCCCAGTTCAGGATTTTGGCATGTTAGCCACATAATAGGAATACAGAATTTCATATCAAATTTGACTAATATTATAATACGAAGAGTATATGCTATCAACTTTGTTCAGGTCAATTATGAGCAGTCACAAGACTTTCCGCAATGTCAAAAGTTAATTACGAAATTTTAATCAACGCACACTGTAACTTGGCTTTGTTCTTTCATATTACTCGTCAGATTTCATTATGATTCCACTCAAATATACAGCAAACCCCGTTCCATAATACGGGCTACTCATTATCCCGCAAAATCCCTAAATCCTAACATAGAATGAAGGTACGAACCGGTGACTGCGTTAGTTCGGTGAGACGCGACGCGACGTCTTGTCCGCGTTTCGGTCGCATTAGTAAATAGATCTTCTTGATTTTCGGACAGCTCCTTAATAATTTTTCGACTAGTACCTGCGGAATAAAGGTTCAACAAATCAAAATCATATGATTGTAAGAAAGATAATTATAAAAAAGGGAGATCATACGAAAGATGGAAAGTTAATTATTAAAAGTAACAGTAAAAAATCAAGGGTAAGAATAGTCAGAATAGAAAATTTTAAAAGATTTTTGGGATTCCTTTGCTTATGAATACACAGAATGGATCGCCCAGCACTCGAGCCCACTGCAAGAGAGTGTTCATAAACTATAGACCACGGAGGAATTCAAGATAATAATTTTTAGTCGGCATCCGACAAATAGCTCTACGGAGGTTTTAAGCAACTCCACAAGAGTTGCTTAAAACCTCCGTAGATCGAACGCACCAAGTTCGCCATCGAGGATTCATAAACACTCACTTTTCCCATAAATCCCGTGCCACCGGTCACGAAGATGGATTTGTCCGCATAAAAGTCCGCAACGGGGACATATTCGTGGACATTAGTCCCACCGGTGCACCAAGCCATGTCGATATTATCGCAGACCACAGACAATTCAAGGCATCAAATGCGTTGCATGTGATTCTTATAGAAAAGAAAAAAATTCAGATCAAACGGTACATTCCACACCACCCTTCATTGTTGCTCTCTCCTATCTGAAACAAAAGAGAAAGAATATTATATTTGATAAAATTTTGCATCCAAAATGCTATACTGGAAAATATTATTGATGAAAAATGCTTAATAAAATACACCAGCCTCAGGACTCCGAGATGGGACTCGATTTCACGAATATTTTTTCAGCTGTTTGGGTGGATTGTCTGAACATTGATGAAAATACGCTCTCTACCAGCGAAAAGCAATAAATGCTTTAAAAACTTCGTCAGTCCTGTTAGTTTCTGAATAGCTCAGTGCTTAGGCCAGTCGCCCGGATTGCGAAAGGTCATGAGTTCAAATCCCATCTCAGAGTACCTGAGGCTTGTGGATTTAAGCATTTTTCTTTAAAAACAAAACAGTAAGGTATCAATAGGTTTATTTAAACTGATTGACATTCACACGAATATTATTGCAATTTTATTTATATGAGGGACCAAGAATCAATTGAGTAGGTTTGCTCACAGCAATTTAAGTATAATATGCAGCTAGAGACTTATGAATTTAACATGCAGATTGCAGATTATGTAATTTATTGGAGGTACTAAGGTCACATTGCAATGTGTCATACTTGGCAAGGACGTAAAACATCCCTAAGAGACTGCGCAAATGTAGAGACTAGTTTTGTGCGAGATACAATCTAGTCTAGTCTATATTTTGTTTTCATTACAATGAAATTTATTCATTTCTGCCACTTGATATATAAAGTGTAATATTATTACGTGCCAGGACTTCGTGGAGTGAATGAGTTAAGTATACTGATCAACTTTTACTATGGGAGCAACACTGAATTCAGGAAAAAATTTCAATCTAGCATCTATCTAAAACCCCATCAAATTATGTGGATCCGATTTCTGATGTGTTCTTATATCTCAGTGATTGAGGGCCGGGATTTATTCCCAAGTTGGTCAATGTAGAAAATAAACTTTTCTATATTGTCTCGGGTCTAAGGCTTTTTAGGATGTATTCCTTAGGCTCAATAATAATAATATATTAAACAACATCACATACATTGCTCAGATTCCAAGATGAGTAGCTAAAGCCCCCGTATTATGGATTATCTGAGACAACGAAGGTACCACAACACCCAGACCCGATTCAATATAGAAAAGTTCATTTTCTACATTGATCTCCCAGATCAGAGATAAGCCCACCCTTGCTTGTGGTTTACCTACTATTGTTATGTTAATTTTAATTTTGTTTTTTTGTGCAATAAAGAGTATACATTATATTATTCATTTCGCTTTCATTTGTTTCCGGTTATTTTAGTTTTGCAGTTCCAAAAACTGCTATGGATGTCGCCTAATAAATGAATGAATGTAGCAATTACCATGGCACACTCATTAACTAAACTACATTGAAGGATCAATGAAATAGTAGACGCGTCGTTCATTATATAAATTATTGCAGTTGTTTATTTATTTATTGTCATTGTGCAAAAGTAATCACAACACTATTATTTATAGGTGTCAAACAATAATGGAAAATAAAAATGGGCTTGTGTCCTACATGTGAAAATACCGGTGTCTGTTATATGTTTGGAAAACATGGACTAATCTGGAAAATATTACGTTTTGAAAATTTGAAAAAAGGAGAGAATAATATACTACAAAAATTTGCTAAAATACATATGGCATTAAATTAGTCACGAAAAACGTTACAACTTTCGTTATAAGAGCTATAAACATAAACGCATAAAGATATTACAAACATTACCCAGACACGCATACGTATTTCGCTACCGTAGCACTGTGTGATGTCACTTAGTGACTTGGACTATTAGGGAGCGTTTTCGGCCGACTAGCAGCAGTACCACAAATATAGCACCGTATCTCCGAAACTATTAGTCGCAGACATGTTGTTACTTTTACATTATTTCTCAGATATTAATGGACTATTTATATATAAAAAGAAGTTATCAACTAGCCTATTGTGGACAACCGTTGGTACATAACAGTTTAGGAACGAACATAAAGACAGACTGTCTCTGTCTATTTAATTGCTACTGGCTCAGAGATACACAGGGGCAGAGGATGGCATATTGTGCAGCAAAAGTGATTTTTATATAATTACTCGCAAACTATTACGATTATTGTAAAATACCCTCGGCTACAAAGTCACTTCCATATTTATAAAAATGGTGAATTTTAAGGAATAACATTGTGGGTTTTTTATCCAGATGTCATAAGTTCTCGTTTTTTCTGTGACAGAACACGTAGTAATATGAATTTGCCTATAATTATTTCATTTATCCTAGAATATCGATACTCTTCCAAAACGATAAGTTTCTCTATTATAACGTCGAATTATGATATCATGCCCTTACAAATATAAATATATGTCATTTTTAGTTTTATTTTATGAATATGATCTGAACACATTTATTTTGACTGCGAGCTCCAGTAATGATTTAGACTACTTTAAAAATTCTATGAAAGGATTGATTAGATATGTTGTGACTAAAACAAAACGTTTGAAATTTTTTGATAAAGACAAATTGAAAGTAGTTGAAAGAAATTAATAAAAAAATTAACAAAAAACTAAAATCCCATCACAAAAGTAATATGTAAGAAAACTGAAAAGAATATTAATAACCCTTTTTTAAAAATAGGTAACCCAAATTCAAACTCATGTTATACATAATTCAGATTGCCTTTGAATTTCTCGAGGCTATTGTTATGATTGATTTCTGACCGTAAAAATCAAGTTGTTATTTAGAAATTTGTATTCAAAAACTTTCAAGCCTCATAAAAATAATATACTAAATAAATACATGCTTATGTACTAAATAAAGTAGTCCTACCATCTTAGCTACCTTCTCCTATTTTTAACATATTCAACTATATCAGCTTTGAAATAGAGGAAAAAGGAAACCTTAATTTCAATGAAAAAGGCGCATTCAATATAACCAGTTGCCGTTTTGAAGCCAGATTTCACTTCGATCGACGTACAAACCTTCTATCACTGTTTCACAGAATAATTCATTGTACATTTATATTTAGTTGTATATTTTAATATAAAGCATTCGCAAAAGCAGTTATTCACTTCTCATTGATAAAAATTTGATAGTCCGTCCGTTTGACATTTTTCGTTCAGTTTTTTTAGAACCAGTCATATTGTCATCTTTAAGAAGATTTATATAAAGAAGTATTTATTCAGTTATGACAAATAACATTATTGTCTATTTTCTAGGTGAATATAAATATATTGCTATGATAATTTCTATTAGAAAAGGGGTTGATGGCGCAGATGGTGTGTTCCAATGTGTGTACCAACAAAAAGGTAATGGTAACTGTTTGGTGATCTCAGCATGGTGTTATTCGCTATAGTTTTCTCCGTTTTGGTCAAGCAATAACGGCAGATGCTTGATGTGCTGAACTCCGAACAATGTTGGTAAAACTAGCAGTAAAACAGCCCCGACTCATGAATCGATCTTCACCATTATTCAACGCGAGACCTCATACAGCATGAGAAACCGTTATAAACCTTCAGGAACTGCAGTTAGAAACATTCATTATCCTTCGTATTCGCCAGACCTTGCTCTAACGGACTACCATTTTAATCGTGATTTGGACAATTGTCTTGCCAGGAGGCGGTACAAAATGCTTTCACACAGTTTGTGCAGTCTAGATCCTCAGACTTCTATCGCAAAGGCATAAATGACCTTCCTATTAAATGGCAGCAATGTATACATTATAATGGTAACTATTTAGATTAATAAAATTTGTTAAAAATTAAAAAGTAAACAATATTGATGTTCAGTACAAATCGGCAATTTCATACTTTAACCTCTATTATTTCATTTCGACATATCAATCAGGAATACATGTCGACATATGAATCAGAGTTACATTTTGGCAAATCAATCAACGCTTCAGGTAGAGCCGCAGGGCGGGTAATAATTTCATTTCATAAACTAATTGTACATATTCTAATACTATAGAGGGGTCCAGTCGGCCCTGACGCCTACATGTAGTACATCTACATGTAGTGTGAATAACATATAATCCAAGGCTTAAGTAAATGCGATTTGCTTGGAGAAATAACACCTTAGTAACACCACAAAACATCTTACTTACACACATATAGTCATTCAAATTGGTTCACTATAATAGGGATGACAACTAATTTTTGTTTGTTTGTCCGTCAGGTAGAGGGTTAAAAAATATTAAACACATACTTTTTTTATTTTTTTCGTAATCATAAAATTACGGCGTTACATGAAGTTGAAATTTCGCATGACGTCACGTTAGGGTACGTTTTCTACTCAACTGTGACGTAGCGAGCCCCCACTCCTCAACTTTAATGCCTGTTATCTAATTTATATCTTGTTAAATTGAAGTAAAAAAAAAATACATATCTAATCTTTTTCGGACGGACTAAATAGAATTGCATTTTTTTTACCCAGTCGTCATCCCTATTGTAGATAACACTTTAATAGATTTCAACTGGTATTGTATAAAAAAATAAAGTCCAAACAAGTTGCTTTCACCACATTAAACAAAGTCGCTTACTGTCCTTATATCCCTATGTATGCTTGAATCTTCAAAACTACGCAACGGATTTTGATGCAGTTTTTTTCATAGATAGGGTGATTCAATAAGAAGGTTTTTTATGTATAATACAAGACCACGCTGGCGGAAAGCTATTAAAAAATAATATAACTCATCATATTTCTAAGGGTTCTGTAAAACGCGGATTAATAGATTTTTTCAATGGAAAAATCAACAGGTTATCACTAAAATTCCCCATTTTTACCAATGTTTTTTTGTTAGTTAAACTTTTAGGAACAATTGATAAATACGTGATGCAGTTTTTTTCATAGATAGGGTGATTCAATAAGAAGGTTTTTTATGTATCATACAAGACCACGCTGACGGAAAGCTATCAAAAACATAAATATATCATCATATTTCTAAGGGTTCTGTAAAACGCGGATTAATAGAATTTTTTCAATGGAAAAATCAACAGGTTATCACTAAAATTCCCCATTTTTACCAAT